CACAGAAGGCAGAGAGCAAGCTGGATTGCTTCTAGAATGTTGTGCATTATTTTTAATGACTTCAAAACTTCTTGAAACAAAGGTTCATGTTTTAAACAATAATCATCATCTAGCAATGCTATATGGCTGTGACTTGTGGAATAGTGTTATTCCTGAAGAATTTTAAGTTGAAGGGTCACTCAAAGGCAATGGAGAGGTGAATGGTGGGTTAAATAGGCTGCAAGACATTATTATCCAATGAAGAATTGCTCAGGAGAAGTGGTATAAAGGATGTCATTGGAGAGATGTACGATTGGAAAAAGTGGGCCATTCATTCTTGTAATGAGAGAGCAAGGTATAACCAAATATGTGTGCTCCGTTGGTATCAGTGCAAAGTCAGGAGTTTCTAGAGGAAGCCTTCCCAGCATATATGGGTGGAACTTCTATAGCTGATTTGCAGGAGGATATGGACAAGTCGTACAGGATGAGAACATGTGGATGGGTTGTGATCTACACTTTTGGAGGGAGTCCTAACATCGGTCACAGATCCAGTTAAGTAAGTAAAGTTTTGTTTTTTTCCAAATACAGGCTTTCCCTAACATGGGTATAAAAATCTAGGTATATTCCAAAAAATAACACTGATTAGCCACACTCATTTTAAATAAGGCAGATTGGAGGTGGGAGGGTTGAGGAAATAAAACCTGTGTTCAGAATATGAGATGTTATCTTAATCTGAGTATTTCTTGTCACTGACTGTTCTATTTTATCTGTTTTGGGTGGAGAGAGAATATGAGAAACCCAAAGATTAACTAGTTTTCCCTCCATAATATATATGTAAGTTAAGGATGTCTCATCATACAGTCATCTCTTTTCCTCTTCAGTTGAGCCCATTTGTGTTTTGAGAAAAATAAATTTTTGCATTTTAAATGTCTTACTTTAATACTAAAAGTAACTGGAATCATGTTACCTACTAGTTTTCATTATCCTTGTGTAGTTAAGTGTACTTTTCTAGTTTGTTAGGTTTTATTCAAAAGGAAAAAAAGTAAAGATACTTGAAACAAATTTGTGTAGGCTGTCAAGTCCAGTTTGAATGTTGATTGCAAAAAAAACTTAGCTTCAAGATAATTATATCATTTCGCATAGATAAAATGCTGCTGTTTCTCTAGGATTAGACACGTTTAGGTAGGTTGTGAATGATTTCTTTTCAAAGAGAAATTACTTGACTAATTATAAAATAGGATAGGAATTGTGAAGTGATGATCACTTCAACACTGTCACTACTATGATTACTGTAGCTTCTTTAAATTTTAATTTTAATTATTTTCTACTGTACTGAAGCCTTCACTTACAAAGCCTTTTGTAAGAAACACCTAAGAGAAGCTTCTCCATTATTTCTTTTCCCATTTTCTATAGTGACGAATGCTTATTGATATTTTCCAGTAGACCTCTCCTGTAATTCTTCATTGTGTTGTGACAGTGAACCTGGTTTCCTAATGGCTTTACCAAGGGACCATAACCTTTGTCAGGTCCTACCAAGCCAGAAAGAGTTTAGGTGTGGGTTGTCTCTATTTTAAGAACCAGCCTACCTAAATACTGGGAGCTTCCATCATCAAATTGACTCTCGTGCTCCTCCTTTTATTGATAGAGAAGGTAGAAAGTTGTATATTTTTTAATATACATTCTAAAAATTTAGCATCAAGAGCAAGTTGTCCAGCAGAAAATTGTGTTGAACTATACAAATGGCTAAGACAAGTATTTTCAAACATACTGTGTTGTGTTCTGTTGGTTCACATTTTTTAAAAAAATTTAGATTATGATCAGTATTGATCCAAAGGTCTCAACATCTAAATAAATTAATTTTACAAAATTCATAAGGAAATCCATAATAGAACAAAGGAGCTATTTGTTATCATTACATGTGAATATATAACAATTTATTAATGATAGCAGGTATATTTTGTGTTGTATTTTAGATTTTCTTATGGTAGTAAACTAACTTAGCTGGATTTTGAGATGTTAAGTCATTATTTAGTCCTAAAGATGACTAACAGAGACTTGCATGAGTTATCCTTGCAGGAATTTTTGCTAAGAATACAAGTAATAGTGCAATAGTGTTTTTGTGGGTCCTACAAACTGACAGTTCAATTTAAAAATTTTTTGCTATATAAAGTTCAATTTCACAAGCTTTACATGTTATCATTTTATTTAGTCTCAAGCTAATTGCCCATTTCTCCTTTTTAAGAAAGACAGTGCTCGTGAAATTTAAGATGATTATATCAACCAATAGAGAAATCCTTTCTTTAAAAAAAAAAAGTTTTTTTAAAAATTTTTTTTTTTTTAGGATATTTTCCCTTAGCTTAGATATTTCCTGGGTTGAATAATTGTCTTTTCCTAGGGTATTTAGTAGACTTAAGGAAATCCTTTAGGCTAGAAATGTTTTTTGTTTAGAACAGAGGTGTCAGAAATTCCCAAGTGTTTTCTAAACCAGATGTAATTAGGAGATGTTTAATAAATAAAAATATAGTAAAATGGAGATAATGTTAATTTGTGGTTTTCTGAGTCCTTATATAGCCTGTGGAGATTAATTTCTCTTTGAGTTTGACCCTATTGGCTTGGAGAGTAACAGTGATTCTTAAATAGTAAATTATGATGCAGATTCTACTTTATAATTAATATTAATGATACTCTGCTTAAGTTGAAAATGCCCGGTTGGTTGGGTAATTTTAAGTCTTTCAAATTAATAAAAAAAAAAAATCCTGCAGAAGTTTTAAACCAATATTTTCCAGCCAACAAGTAATTAGACAGTAATGAGTGAAATTAATGTTATTTTCTATTTGCTTAACACAAATTTGGTTATTAGTAGGTAACTGTTACATGCATATGATGAACTGCGGCCCCTTCCCCCCAAATGTGAGCAGTTAAGAAAATTGGAAATAATCAAGAATTTGGAATAATTATTACAGGTTACATCCCATTTCATCAAATTGAGGGATAATCCATATTTCTCTACTATAATGAAATACTGTTGTATCCAGTGTTGGTTACAAAGGATAACTTATTGACTTGAAGGCTTTTTTTCTCCCCCTTGTTATACTTAGGCCTTATATTATATTCATGTAATAGGACTTAACCTGTGTTCGTTCCTTAATCTGACAGAGTGTGCCTGGTTAAGGTTGTATTCATTTTAAGAGTATTACCTGAATGTACCCACAATTTGGGATGTGTTAGACTACTTTTGAGGAGTTTTAACATGTGCTTCCTCAAAGTTTTTGTGATATGTCTTGTTGAAAGGTATTTTGAATCATTTAAAAATTTCAGAAAACTCCTGTCTAAATTTTTGCTTTAGAACTTGTGGTAAATCATCAACTCTTACTTATCTAAAGCTACTTTTAGTCATAGGCTGGTTTTTGCCTACTACCCAGTGTGTTTCTGATTTTTTGCCTCCAAAATGTTCAGTTGCTATTCATTTAGGGATTTTAAGCTTTGTGTTTTTTTGGCCCAAGTACACCTTAAGTATGAAATTAGTTCTAATCCCTCCCCCCCAATCCTTGGTAAGGACAAACAAAATCTGTAAAAGTTAGAGTTGTTTGGTTTTTTTAAGTAGGGAGAGGTTATTCACATAATTGTACTACCTAACATTCTGTTTGCAGTTATATTTCTTACTTTATCCTTCTTTTAGCCTGGATAATTAAGAGTTGCCTATGCTTCCAAATGTATTCAAATCTACTAAATAGAAAGGGTTGGGTTTTGTTTTTTTGTTTTTTTAGAGGGGGGTGGATACTCACTTGACTGCATCCTCATTAAAAATAGCTGAGCTTATTTCTTTTTAATGATTGATAGAAATTTTTCAAAATAAGTATTAACGTTTTATGTAATCATTTTAAACATAAATTTATACTTTTTAAGAATACCTTCTCTTCTGTTATTTATTCGTCCCATCATTTCATAAAATGAATCATTTATTTTATCTTTTCCTTTCAGATAAAATAAACTGACATGAACAGGGATTGGAATTCAGTTTGTAGAGGTTATCTTGATTGCTGAGCTTTTCTCAGTCAAAAAGGCTTTCATCTTCCTTGCATATTAGCCTATTACCCCCTCTCACTAAGATTTACCATTTCGTTTCTTTTTTCTGTTTACTTGAAACTCTTTAAGTGAGTGCTTTTAGATTATGATTTGTTTTTACTTGCTACTATATTTAATTGAATAATCTCTTCTCCCCCCTCCCCCCCATATTTTTATATTTGCAATATGGGGATGGATGTCATAATTATGCTGGTTTATCTGGGACATTGTCTCCTGCTACCCTTGACTGCCTTTATTAATCTTTGCAGTTCTTGCTCATATTTACTAGAGTACAGTAACTCACGAATAATTATACTGAAATTAATTGCAAATTTAAGCTAACATTTTTTCCTGAAGTGTTTCCTTTACCCTTAGAACAAAAAACTAATTAACTGGTTTCCTGTAGGGCTGGGTGGAGACTGTAGAAAGTAAGAGTTTGGTGATGTGCAAGTGATTTAAAACTGGTATTTATATTTAAGGTTTTCCTTTTTTCACGTTTCTCTTTTGGGGCTTTCATTGCGGAAAGAAGAACCTGCCCACAACTTAAAACCCTTTTTGAATGAGGAAAGTGTGGGGGTTGTATTGAAATTTGATGGGAGAAACCTTTTTTGTTGTTGTTGTTCTTTTCTTAAAATATTGTGGGAGGGGGAAGAGATAAATGAGTAAAATTTTCCTGGTGTTCGATAAAAATAAACATTAAGTCAGTAACCCTTGGTTTAGGGAACAAAAGCAACATAAAAAGTTTAGATAACCTTTTTTCTTAAATGACGTACACATGGTATAAATAGGAAAATAGTTTGCAGAGGAATTAGCTTCTTAGTAGATATTTAAGCCCAATCCTAGATTATTTTTGTTTAACTTTATATTTTATTAGCTTTATGATAGATGCATTGAAAATTTAGTATTATTGTAGTACTTCTGTACAGTATGATAATACCTCATTCCTTTTATTCTAGATGCCTGGAATGATGTCTTCAGTCATGCCTGGGATGATGATGACTCATATGTCTCAGGCTAGCATACAGCCTGCTTTACCGGTAATCTTTTCAAAGTTTATTTGATTCGGTATTATAAAAAGAAGTTTATTTCAGAAACAGTATTTTAGAGTGCATATGGAGTAACATATACATACATGTTAGATATGTACTCTAAAAACAAATTTAATTTTTGCTTTTTCGATAATTTTAGAACATCCTATTAACCTTTGAAAAAAGTTTGTCTGAATTCCAGTGTGGCATGAGGATTACAGTGAACTTATGTTTAATAGATATTAAAGTTTCTACTTGTATTGAGACTAAATTATATTTCTTGAGCTTTTTCTAATAAAGAGTACTTTACCGTTTAACTCAAATCACTATAGTGAAATCACTTACTTAGGTTCCCTCCTGACACAATTTTGTTCAGGAATGGCATCCCTACCATTGAGGGTAGAATCCATGGTTATTGCATTGAGGCATTGTAACAGGAGTTGAAGGGATGTATAGGATTACATTTCATGAAAACAGGAAAAAGTGATAATCACATATCACAACAGTTTAAAAAGTGATGTCCTGATAATCATCTTCTGAGTTTGGATAATGCAAATATTCTATTTTATAGAAGAGGAAATTAAAGCTCAGAAGTGTTAAATAGAATTCACCTAAGTAGAAAATTACATTATCTTTTCTCAGAAACTGTGGTAGCTAAATTTAAGCATGAAAATTAAAAATTTATCAACATGAGATCATAGACTTAGGAAGGAAGGACATAAATGAGCATTTATTAAGCACCTGCTATGTGCAAAGCACTGTGCTAAGCACTTTACAAATATCTCATTTCATCTTCACAGCAACCTTGGAAGTAGGTGCTATTATCCCCATTTTTCAAATGAGGAGACAGACAAATAGGTCTGTATAGGTTAAGGGAAGCACTGGTATCTGAAGCTAGATTTGAACTCAGATCTTCTTGACTCCCAGGCCCAGCACTCTGTCCACTGTTCTGTCTCACCGTCTGACTTCTACACCTGGAAGGTCATATAGTCCAGCTCCAGCGTAAGAGAATATTGAAGCCTAAGGGGCTTACATAATTTGCTTAAGGTCACACAGGCATTGTCATTCAGGATTGATTCTGGAACCTGTGCTTTCTGAAGGTTGCATATTGACTTCAAAAACCGTAAACGTGTTCTATTGCATTTTTTTATTTATTTTGTTAAATATTTCCCAATTACATTTTAATCTGTATTCTTCTATGGTCCAAATTTTGATATCATTACACTCTACCACACTACAGTCTAATTAGTTTGCCATTCTGTTTTCTACAGCATTGGCTGTTGGTTAACAAGTGTAACTGTTGGGACAGATATTAATTTTGAAATGTAATTAATAGTTTTTATAAAATATAGAACTTTTGAAAAATGCGTAGATGTCTTCTCCCACGTCATCATCCTGTTTAAAAAAAAAAAAACTTACAGGCCTAGGTAAGTAAAGTATTTACCCTGAAAAGAACAGTAGTTTTCAAAATAAAATGTTTGTATTCCTACTGTGTATGTGGGCATCAAAGAGTTGTAGTTTTTGAAATGTTTGATTTGATGGCATTTTTATAGAGATTACCTTGGAAACCTATATGCAGTTGGAGGCAATCTAGTGTTCTATTAAGAATTCATAAACTGTACATAAAATACTATGCTTTATCAATTTTATTTTTTATTCTTACAGCCAGGAGTAAACAATATGGATGTAGCAGTAGGTATGTAATATCGGTTTATTAATGGGAAAGAATATAATTTATGAGATTCTTAACCCAATCTTATAAATGATTTTTTTTAAAGGAGTAGGTTCCTTCAATATTTTTAGTAAGTGAAGGAAAATTGTATCACTTGTCACAAATTTTTTTGCAGTGACTATTAATATAAGATGCTATATTAAATAAATAAGTAATTTTTAGTGTTATGTTTATACTAATGTATTCTGTTTTGGGACTTGGAGAAAAATAGAATCGTTTTGGAAAAAGAAAATAGAATCCTTTCATCAGTGGACTTTAAATTACTTTATCAGAAGTTAAAATGCTGTATTAAATGGGTTCTATTTATTGTCATTAGAGCAGATGTGGAGTCTGGAACAAAAATTAGAAGTAACATCTCATATAAAAGATAAAATGTTCATTCTGCTAGATGTTTTTAAGATTGACTTTTGCAGGGATTTTGAGATAAAGGCATACATCTATAGCTAAGGATGTCTTTGTACAAATTCATCATTTTTATAAAAAATATTCATTTCTTTTATTTCATTGAAGCCCAGGGAGGGAATTGAAGTGACTAAGGTTGAGGACGTGGGAAAGGAGTATTGAATGAATTAAAGTGCAGGGCGGGCATCAGTGCATATTGTACTGCATGAGCAGTACTTCTGCCACATAGTAGTGAATGCAGTGTGGAAGTAGGGTAACTTTTTGATCATCTGTGGAAATGAGAAACCAGGAGAGCATTGGTAATTGAAACTCCCAAACCTCATTTTATTCAACAGTTTCAACCTCCACCTTTTTAAAAATACATTTTAAAAAAGGCCAACGTCTCCAACTGCATCCGGGACCATCTCCAGTGATCCTGATCTATATCTTGCCACTGGACCCAGATGGCTCTGGAGGAGAAAGTGAGGCTGGTGACTTTGCACAACCCTCCCTCACTTAAATCCAGTTCACTTGCAAGTCATGGCATCACCTTCCTGATGTCATGGTCCTCTTAGAGAATAAAGGACAAACAACGACAAATGGCAATGTTTAACTGCCATGCATTTGTAGTTCTGTTTCTTCTTCTTGTCATTGTATCTACAATTAGCAGCAGGGCAATTTCCCTGCCTTTTTTAGTTTTTAATCTGCTATAACCTATAGAAAGTAAACTTATTTATGCACAGTTGATAATTGTGAATCGTTAGACTCTGGGTGAGATGCCTCTAATGATATAATAGCGTACAGTTAAAAATACTTTGTAGTTTACAAAGCAGTTTCTTCCCACTGACACTATGAGGTTAGTAGTATTACCTCCTTTTTATGGATAGTTCAGGAAGCTGAGGTTTAAAGTGGTTGACTTTGACCATGGTCACACAGCGTGTAAATTGCAGAGCTGGGACTAAACTTAGATCTGATGATTCCAGGTCCAGTACTCTTTCCACTATGCCATGCTGCCTCTACTGTGAAGTAAATTTGCATGGGTGATTTTAACTGCTTAGAAACCTTTATTTTGTTGTGTTTTGGGTAAGTGAGGTAGTACTGTACTTGTCAGTTGTTTGGTCGTATTCTGGAGAGCAACAAGTTAGCCAAGGGTAGACAGTCTTAGAAGGAAGCAAAGGGTTTTAAACGATAATTGTCGAAATATGGTTCAGAGTTCAAGGGTAGTTAATGGAAAATTTTTAGAATGAATTGAAAACTAAAGTTTCAGAAGTCATTAGTTGCTGGAAGTCCTTAAACTACATTGTTTTATTTTGGAAGGAGAGAGAAGAAAAAGAAAAATGTCAGATGGTATGGTATTGGGGGAGGAGAGGACAGATTGGAAGAAAAAATAATTTTACAATATGTGACAGGTAATATTTAGAAAATTATTTTGACCAATTATAAGAAGTTGAATTTAGAGATGGTCTCTGGTTTGTGCATGACTTTATATCAATAATGCTTTTGATCTTTATGGATGTTAATTGTGTAAGAGAATTATTTTAATCACTTGATAAATATCCATTTTTTGTTTTTTAGGTGCAACATCTGGCACACAAGTAAGTAAAAATCTAAGGCTTTGGGATTTATTTAAACTAGATGTGCCTCGATAGTTTGATATTTTGTTTCACTACTCATTTCTTGTCCCCTTTTAGAAGACTAGCTTTTACTCCTAAGATGTGACCCTTTGCTTCTTTCATTGATAAAATGTCAATTTTTTTAGAGCCAAAGGTTTGAGAACTATTGAAAAATTGTATTATTAACTCTTACGGTATTTTTTGTTAAACTTTAAGATTGAGCTTGGTTAGTGAGAAAAGAGTAGGTTGAATAATGGAAATTGTCATTTGAAGAATAGGGCTCTTTTTTAAATTGCTACCATTTATTAGTGCATATAAATTGGTCGTTTAAGTCTAAAATTGAGCCTCAATTTTAGAACCTCAGTAGAACCCTCCCTCCTATAGCTATCAGCTTCTTAGGGTGCAGGAATCAGCTTAAGATAACTATTGTTTTTGCATTAAGTTATGAAATGTTCTTTAGTATAGAAAAAACAGTCAGCCTGTATGCTGGGTTGATTTTATGCCCTAAAAAAGAGGTAGAAAGGCAGCGTGGCATAGTGCATAGAGAGCCTGTCTTGGCATCACGAAGACCTAGTTTGTACTGCCTCTGACACGTACTAGATGTGAGACCCATGGGTAAGTCCCTTGACCATTCTATGCCCCAGATAGCTCTTTAAGACTTTACAGAAAGGTTGCTGATCTGCAGTGCTGGAGGAAGTTTCAACACTGGGAGTTCCATATACCAATGAAGTCACATATATCAGTAGAGTCGTACGGCTAGACAAAAATAAAATAGTATGTGTTTGAGTTGACATTTTTAAGAGATTGGGCCTGTTTTTGGTTCTTTAGACTCCAACTTGACTTTTCTTCCTGTGTGTCTAGATTTTCTTCCCTGGTGTTTGGTCTTAACAAAATTTTCTCTTTGTTTTGTAGTCTTTGTCATTTTTTAGTTGTCATTTGCAAGATGGTAGAGTAATGACTCATTATCTACTTACATGACTTAATAATGTTAATAATATATGTCTCTAAAGTTTTTGAGTTTGATCCCCAACATAGTAGTTTAAAATACAACTAAATGTTTGTATTTTCTCCTAGAATGATATAAGGATTACTGAGAAAAGATTCTTAGATGCTCTAAATTACTGTCTAAGTGGGGGAGTAGTTTGCTTAATCTCATTATTACTTTGTCCTAACTAGACAAATTGTTTCTTTCTTATTCTTTCTGCAGTTACTTGGTGCTCATTGATTTAATAGAGGGGTTGGGGGTGTGTGTGTGTGTGTGTGTGTAAAATTCTTTTTAGCAAAAGACTCTAGCAAGATCCATTTTCTGACACAGGGAGTTGTGATTTGTATTGTTTAAAAGCTACTACAAAGAATAGGTTGTGTCATATAGTGAGAAGACCATTGGGCTTGGAGTTAGAAGGCAAGGGTTTGAGGTTCTGGTTGTGCCACTTTCTATATGATCTCTGGAGGTTTCTGAGACTTTCAGGGTATTACTTTTCTCATCTGTAAAATGAGAGAAGTTGAATTAAATGAACTATAAAGTCCATTGCTGCTCTTAACCATTCTGTGGGATTTTCACTAGTGTTCAAATGTTAGATTTCCGTTATAGACAATTAATGATAGACTTCAACCAAAAAAAAGTTAATGTTATTTGTTTGAAAAGTTATGTGCAATATTTTACATCTTACCCTTTTCATATTGGAGATAGGAACATTTCTTTTTTCAATTTCCAGCTTGAGCTTTTTTCAACATTTGCTTATACTCATGTCCTTTGAAATTTGAATCCAAAACATACAAAATACAATGTTAACACAGCTATATAAAATACAATGTTAATAGAAATCATATGTGTCCTCTGTTTTAATATTCTAGACATTAACTATAGCAGAAGTTCTCAACTTGGGGTCCAGAAACTTTTGAAAACATTTTTAGAAGTCTATTTCAGTATCATTTATTTTCTTTGTAATACTACAAGAAAGGGATCCATGATGCACAAACAAACCTCCTATAGAAGATAATAAACATCTCAAATGTTTGGCCTTTTGTTTTTTACTTGGTTGTATCGGAAACAGAATAATTTGAGGGACTCAGAGTAAAGCTGAAGTTTATGCTATATACAAGCCCAAATTAAAAGAATGTCTGCCTCCTAACAAAGTCTGAGTTTTGAAGCCGACATGACTCCAGTGGGGAAGACACAGTAGATCGCTTTAGAGATAATGCAGCAATAGAGAATTATAAAATATTATCAGAGACTTTTAAACTTGTCGTGCGTAATTCTTGTTGACCTGGCCTGGAAATGAAGAGATTTCAGTGTATGAACTTATAAATCAAGATTTAGGGGAAGATCCCTGTGTTCTTCTCTAGATTATTGGGGATTGTGCCCAGTTTTGATCAGTTTAGTTAGCTACATTGTAATTCCATAGCAATTTCTATTTGTATTTCAACTTTCTATTTGTATTTCAGCATGTTCACTTAATACAAGTTTCAGTTGAATTCATCACTTGTGACAACCATAGCCTCTTGGCTGTAGAGATTGACTAAACCCTAGGATCAACTTTAGGATGTCAGTTCTATGAATTTTCATCATAACTTTTGGAACATTTATGTTGCCTGCTGGTGCTGTAAAATGTTCTTTGTTGGATAGCAAACATTGCAGATGATTATAAGTTTGGATCTATCTAAAGCAGCATTATTTGTTTCTGAAAATAAGCCATTGAATTATATCATGATATAACTTTGCAAATTTGATGCATTCACGAGTGAGGAATAGGTTAAAGGAAAGTTTACACATTAACAAATTTTGCATCGTAGTCTTATTATTGTTCCTATGGAAAATGGTCTAGTAGGATTGTATAATGTTCTAGTAGGATTATATTACGTATGTATAATATAAAAATCATACTTGGACATGAAGCTGACCTATATCTGGTTCAATTTGACTCTTATGTGATTTAACTGTTACATACTAGTATTAGCATACACCGTTATTCCATCTCGGTTTAATATAAAATTTTTAAGTGAAATATCTTAGGATCATGGCTTCTCTGATCCCTTCCAGCTCAAAAAACTTATCTGTTCCCCTTCCTCGTTTGACAGTGAGGAAATTAAGGTCAAGAGTGAGTAAATGACTTAGACCCTATCTCTTTAATAGCATAGCAAAATAGTGTGATAATGAAACTAGAACTAGTATAATAGTCTTTTCTAGATACCACTTCATCTTGCAAAACCTTTGCCTCCTATGTGTCTCTTCCTTCTCAACATGTTCACTTAATACAAGTTTCAGTTGAATTCATCACTTGTGACAACCATAGCCTATTGGCTGTAGAGATTGACTAAACCCTAGGATCTGCTCCAGTTCATTGATCCTCTTATTTTGTGGTATCCAGAAATGGATAAAGTACTCCAAATGTGACTTGAGGAGCACAAAATGCAGTAACTTTTAGTTACCATGCCTTGATCTGAGAGTCTATTAAAACTCTCAAGTCTTATTTCTTATGGACTGATTTGGTGTCAGATAAAGTTTCCTCCTACCCCTCCTCCTTTACTTGTAGAAGAGGATTCTTGGAAGGAATAATTTAATTTATTCCCCTCATTTGCAGATTAGGAAACTGAAAACCAGAGAAAAAAACTCCCCAAATCACATAGTTAAGTAATATCAGTCTAGTCTTTTCAAATAGAAAAATGTTAAATTAATTAGCATATAAGCCAACTTTTTAAAGCTCAATGTTAAGAAATTGCTAATTGATTACTAAGAGGGCTGATCAAATGTTAAAACTCCTTTGAGAAATGATTAGAATGCAATACTGTCTAAAATTCATGGGTCTGGTGCTGATATTTAAAGCAGTTGACATATGTAAAGAAGTTTAACTTATTAAGGGCTTTAAAAATTATGTAATATTCTACATCAGTTCATTTTTTCCTATGGAAAAAACATTCCATCAGAACAGGAAAGAGATGTGAAGGAGAGAATTATTTCAGTAGCACAAGATATTTTAAGTCTTAAACTTTTGTGGCTAAATATGAAAATATTTAGGAAAATAACTCAAAATATGTTAGTGATTTTTATAGGCATCTAATTTCTCCATGGATACTAAGATTACTTTGGTTTTTAGTAGTTATACCATATCTGTTCATACCGAACTTATAGTCAATGAAAACTCCTTAGATCTTTTTCATATGGGCTCATACCATGTCAGATTTTCTTCTACTCCTCTTCCTATACTTCTGTGGCCCATTGTTTGGAACATAAAAGTGTACAAATTACTGGTTTTTGTAGAGCCAGAGACCTAGAAATTCTTATTCTGTCATACATCCCTAGTCATATGTATATTTAATTAGTATGCTTTCAATGACTTCATCTAAATACTTGATTAAAATATTAAATGACGTGGAGGTCCATGGCATTTAATTAGTGACCTGTGTACCCTAGTTTATGTTGATTCATTGATAAGCACTTGTTGGGTATAGTTTTCAAACCAGCTACCAGTATTCTTTTTTTTTTTTTTAACCAGTTCTCTTAATATTATCATATGGCCTATATTTCTCTGCTTTGTTAAGGAATGGGCCTGTGTTTTGTTATGTATATAGAATACTTTTGATATATTAGCATAATTTTAGACTTGACATTGGAGAATATGAAATTAATATCAGAATGATATTAAGTATTAAATATTCTGGCTGTGATTTCTAAGACTTGTAAAAGAATATAATTTTAACTTGGATTAATCTTTTTTTTATCACTTTCAAAAAATCCCATTTTTTAGTTTCTAATTGTCTTGTTATAATATAATGTCTTCTAAATGATTTAACTTGCCAGAATATTCCAGTATTTTTCATGTTACTGGTGGAAGACATGGCAGTAGCAGTCAATTTTCATGTTTATTATTAAAATGCAGCCCTCTAAGGTTCCAGTCAGTTCACACAGTTATCAGACTCTCCTTCATACATTTATTATTTTGTGAAAAGTTTGTCACTAAGTATCAGTATCCTGAAGTACCGTACAATTCTTAAAATATTTTTAAACAAAGTGCAAGATGTAATTTACTTCATTGTTTAACAGGTTTGAAGTATGTAGATTTATCAGTGCTACTTTTTGATTACAAAAAGATAGTTACATAGTTTTAACTAGTGAGCTCTTAGATAGAAATACTGTGCGTGCATATATATAAATGGCACTTAAAATTAATCACGAATTTTACTTTGTCAGGCCCAACAGAAGAAGAACATTAATCTTTTTTGAGGTCTTAATTTGAATTTAGTTGCTTCATGTTGACTTTATTTTTTCTTCAGAAATCAATGTGGACTGAACATAAGTCTCCTGATGGAAGAACTTACTATTATAACACAGAAACAAAGCAGTCTACCTGGGAAAAACCTGATGATCTCAAAACACCTGCTGAGGTAAATATTGTATCATTTTGGTTTGGCATCATCTAGGAAACTGAAGTAAGATAGTATATGGTGGTCTATCATATTGATGAGGGTGAGGAAGAAGATATTTCCTAGATACTTAACCACCTAAGAATAATGTTTAGCATCTTTGCCACCCTGAACACTATTAACTGTTATTTTTACTAAATCCCTTTGTGTTTTCACAATTAGAGGTATACTGTAGGGGGACAAAGACCCTTATTAGAGAGAAACTTAAATCTGAAATGACCACAAGATGGGTATGTTTGTTTCTTTGTATGCTGTTAAGCTTCAGAATTGGATCGTATATATACCCCCTTAAAACCCTACCCTTTCCAGAACAAGAAATTAAAAATGAGAGGAATTGAGGCTGCAACTTAGAATCCCAAGGTTAGAATTTTTAGCAGTTTTACATAGCAAAATCTGGTAGTCTATGCTTTTAATAACTAGAAGTTTGTAGTGGGCTTTTTTATGAATAAAAAAATACAAATATGACCATAAAAAGTAAAGGGGCCTTAGTGTATAAATTATTCACTTTTATCAATGAACACTAACTTTAAAAAAAAGTATGCAGATGCAATATAGAAAGGGAGCATAAACATCTTTGGCTAGACTTCTGTATACTTTGTGACTGATAAATGACTAGTTAAACATACTTCAGAAAACATGCCTATACAATATTGAGGAAACTGGTAGAAATGACATTTTCTTAAACTGAATCAGAGTTATATCTTTTTTTTTTAACACAAACTAGTTCAGATTGGTTGGTTTCTTTTAATTATTCTCAAAGTGAAAACTACAAGCACAGTTGAACCAAAATTTGCTTCAACTATTTCATATATCAGTACTTTAAATATACTCTTCATGCCTCCATATCACTGATGGTTGGCAAGTCTTTAATTTCTATATTTCATACTCATTTTACCTGAGATATGTTATGATTAATATTTTTAAAAATCAGAATTTTGCATTAAAAATTGTGACTTTAAATATCAATTGTATGTTGTAGTTATTATTGTTGACCAAAAATGTTTTTTCCCATTAGCAATTATTATCTAAATGCCCCTGGAAGGAGTACAAATCTGACTCTGGAAAGCCTTATTATTATAATTCTCAAACAAAAGAATCTCGTTGGGCCAAACCCAAGGAACTTGAGGATCTTGAAGGTAATATAGAATGGTAACTTTTCTAAATTTTCTTCTCAGATTTAAGTCTTTCACAATGAATCATCCCCTCTTTAGGACTATATAAAGGTGATAATGTTAAAAGTCAAATGATTGGAATTATTTTAAATAGTGTAACAGTTTTGTGGGATATTATTTTTGTTGTTGCTGTAGATCCCAGTTCTATAGATTAAATAGATTTTTATTTGATTCCACTGAAACTAGGATACCAGAATACCATTGTTGCTGGAAGTCTTATTACAAAATCAAACCTGCATGGTGAGCTGCTTTGATAATTCACTTTCTGTCATTACTTTTCTATAGTTGTTCACTAACCATGATTTGGGTAACTCTTCAGTGAAAAATCCAAAACTTAAATAATACCATTCCCATTAGAGTTATATTAGAAATGAGCTTTTATTTCTTTTGAAATTAAGGGTGTTGTTATCACATGAGCAATATATTTTTTAATTTACTGAAGATAATCTGTTATTTTCTTGCAAATCAAGTAAAACTAAAAGCTAGATTCATGTCAGTTTTAAGGTTGTTTTCCATTATTGGACAGATTCACTGGGCAAATTGACTATAAATGATCATATAGTAAGACCTGACAGACTTTTAATTTGATACATTTTTTCACTATGAAATTCAGCCCTTGTTTGTTTCCTAGTGATGGTATTAACAAATGAACCAAAATGAAAGAAACTAAATCTACTTTATGCTCTGGGAATATTGTAAGAAATGGCATATGTGATTTGAAGTTAGATCCCCTCACTTCTAACATAATGTTTCAAGATAGCATTTTAACATTTTAGGAAGTCATAGAAGAACCATTAGGAAACTAAAGTGCAGTAATACCTCACTTATCCAGGCACTTCAGATATTCAAAATTTTCTTGAGAACTTGACAGAAAGCAAACGTCTTCCCAAAACAACTAGAACAGAGTCTGTTCACAAAAGCTTATTTTAATTTTAAGAATATTCTGTATACCAGGCCTGCACAAACATATGGCCCATGGGCCACCTGACATCGTTTGGCAGACCATATGTTGTGCAGGCCTGCTGTATACAGACTCTTATTTGGATATAATTCAAGCAAACTTAATCATATAATTTTTTCCTCTTTATAGCATATTGTGGTAGGGTAAAGAGAGCAGAGTGGGTAGGGAGAGAAGAGATGATTTGTGTAGTTTCCAATGTGGAAACTTCAACTGGAGTACTTAAGAGATGTGACTTGGTCATGACCATATAGCTAATATGTGTCCAGGTTAAGACATCAGTCTCCTTAACCTCGTTGTCTTTTTAATAGCCGATTATTAGGCTTATGATATTTCTGGCACATTGCCTGTCTTTCAGAAAGCCAACAACCATAGCAGTACCTTTATTTAGGATTACTACACACTGCTTCCCCTCGTTTATAAATACTATTCTCCAGCCAAACTATCCTACTTCCTGTGCCCTCTACACAACATTCTGTCTCCTGCCCCTGCAGTTTTGTCTACATAGGCTTCTCCCTGTTCTTGGAAGTGTACCCTTCCCCACTTTTGCCTCTTGGAACATTCCAAGGCTCAGTTCAAGTGCTACTGTCTACAAAAAACCTTTCCTAGTTGCCTTGTTAAATGTTACCCAACCTTTACCCTCAGCCCCGGTTAGTTTATATACATTTTGTTTCCGTGTACATGTTTCCATTCAGTAGAACCCAATTCAAGGAGAGGGTACTGTTTCATTTTTGTCTTTGTATTCCTACTGCCCAATGAAGTGGTTGCCACATGATAGGCACTTATTGAAATGAGTTGAATTTAATTGAATTTGCTAATTAGGTAAGTGGTTATTAAAGGCCTGCATATCGAGTGCAGCAAAGGAGGAGATATGAATTAAAAAAAAAAAACAGATGACCGCAAAATGCATCATCATTCATATACCTTCGTATACCCTGGTAGCTTTTGAGGGCCTGCCTCTATTGCAGCATAGTACATCAATTAAATTCATAGTTATGATCCTGAGTTATTAGGTTTTCATATGTTCTGTTTCAGAAAGACCGAACTTAAAAAATTCCATTAAAAAGTTCAGATCCTATGTAGGAAATCTGCATTTTAAGGAATACTATATAAGGAATGATACTGGATAAATGAGGCGTTACTGTAGACTTTTAGAGAAAGAGCAAAAGTTGAAACAGAATACAAAATTTCCATTATTTAAGAGTAAAGAGGAAATAGGGACTAAAATTGGCCTAAATTCCCATGTTGCTTATGAGACTATGATTGTTTCTCATGACATTGAAAAGAAGAAAGCTAATTTCTAACAACTTTAACCTGAGTGGCATTATTTAGGTTTTAGATATCTTTAATTCTAACCTATCTACTGCGCAATCCTAGTATATGACCTCCAGATTTCATAGTAACTTGGGTTAGGATTTAAGCAATCAATTCTTTGATCCCTAGGAAAATAGTACTTCTCTTGTCCTAATTATGCAGGTTAAGACATAACTGGTTTATGGGCAGTAGAAACAGAGATTGGGAAATCACTGGGGTTTGGAGAAGCCCTTAATGGATAATGTAATTTCTACATTAGAACTTTGTGGTGAACCAACTGTTGATAAAAGTAGTATAGTTTACCTAGTGAGGTTTCTTTGTTCCTTTCTCTTTAAAGTCTTTCAGCAACATTTAAAGTAGCCATCAATGGATTAATTTTCTTTTTCTTTTTTAAACAGCCATGATCAAAGCTGAAGAAAGCAGGTAGGTGCTCAGTAATGTTATAGATCTGTGGGCACTTATGGTGTGCCTTACATGTGAAGATGCCATTACTGGACATTATTCTAAGTAAAACATTTATGTTCTAGCTTTACATTTGCTTTTGTAGTATGTAGGTGTTTATTATTAGCTTTGCCAAATTGGGCAGCTTTAAATTCATTTGGAAATTTTATTGTTTATTAAATTAAAGAGTGGCATCCTGCTAGATGATACTTCTGTAGAGCATAGAAATCTTGATAGCCTACTCTATAAATTATAGATGACATTTTTGGTCCTATATGCCTTTGAACGGCCTTGAAAATTACATTAAAATCACCTTACAAATTTATCAGTAATTTACACACTATTTTCAAACAGATTTTCATATCTTCTCCAATTCTCTTGGAGAACGCATCAAGTCATTCAGATTTTTATTTTTTAGGTTACATTTCATGGTTATTGAAAGTGTGGTGCGTTATTTTGTGAATGGAGGTGATTTGGTGAATTCTTGGAGACCTAACCTTGGTGCATTTGCACCATTGCTCTCCCTCCCTCCTTTACCCCTGAATCCCATTCCTGCTGCAAACCATAGTGGTTTGCTTCTTATGTAATATATAATATTGAAGTAACAGTGCATTCTTTTTTTCTTTTTAAATGTACTTCACAGTAAAGAAGAATCAACCACAACATCAGCTGCCCCAGTTCCTACAACAGAAATTACAACTACAATGAGCACTATGGCTGCTGCTGAAGCTGCAGCTGCTGTTGTTGCTGCTGCAGCTGCCGCGGCTGCAGCAGCTGCCGCAGCCAATGCTAGTGCTAATGCTGCCATATCAACTCCTTCCTCCATTGTTGCTTCAACTGCACCAATTGTCACTGAGCCTGAAGTTACTTCCATTGTTGCTACTGTCATAGATAATGACAATACAGTAACAATTTCAACTGAGGAACAAGCACAACTTGTTACACCTATTGTTCATGAACAAAGTGCAGAAGTATCTAGCAATGTACCAGAGGAAGCGTCAAAGCAGGAGGCTTCAGTAGAGTAAGTTGGTTTTATGTGGTACCATTGAGGTTCATAATAACTAGACCAGATATAGCAGAACCAGATTCTAGCATTTCAAAATTTTAAGACCATATCTCCTCTCTTCCCTCCTCATCCTTCCCTTCCCCCCACCAAAAAGGTATCCATTAAAAATCTTCAGTAAGTGGAATGTGGTAATTTACATTCTAAGGGTAGAATTGGAGATAGATCAGCTGATACTGCACATATACTATCAGTGTCAGCACTTCAAACTAACTCATCAGCAACATGGTAGAGTTTTAAAATTGTAAGGCAATTAAATTGAATAGATCAACTAGAAAAACTTATAACCTAAAAACACACTAGGTAAATGGGAGGGGGAAATTGGAAATAGGGAAGAGAAGGAGATGGTGTAGAGCAGTACTTCTTAAACTGTGGGTCATAAAATACAGTTTTAAGAAGTGTTGAAGGGGTCACAAGTGAAAAAAGTTTAAGAAGCCCTGGTATAGAGAAGGGACTTGAAAGAGTAAGAGAAAACAGAGGCAGTTGGCAAGAAAGCATGCTGATAAGAATCAGTCTTTAAAAAAAAAAAAGCTTGCTTAGAAGGTCATAGCATCAGTGCATGCCCAAGTTTCTCCCTTGCCGACCATAGTGTTGCCCATTGAGAATTGCTTTACCTAATGGTGTTCTCACTTGTCAGATTCATAAAAGAAAATTATGTTCCATATATTTAATGACACAGAAGAGTACTAATACTTTTGAAAGCTTTCAACAAGGCGAAAATAAAAAAGGCCATTGTTGGCCTATGGAGGCAGTGTGCCATAATGGATAGAGCATTGAACTTGGAATTATAAGACCCAAGTTCAAGTCCTGCTTTAGCCACTAACTGTGATAATGCACATGTCACTATTATTATTATTATTTTTACCTCTTACTTTATCAGAAAAATGATTAGGTTGTTCTTGATAGCCTTTAAGGTCTTTCCACCTTTAAATCTATGAGAATAAAGAAAACTGATACCCCAAAATGTGAAGTATAGTAGCTAGAGACTTAGCCTCAGTATCAGGAACACCTGGGTTCAAGTTCTGCCTTTGATGCATCTTAGCTATTTAGTGACATTGGATCTTTCAGTTCCCCCAGGCAACTCTTAGGATTATAAATTGCAGAATATTTATAGATACAGATTTCTAGTGGGAATTTCCTCACAAACAATGAAGTCTGAGGCCCATGACAAAAGATAAAAACCTGATCAAATATTTACTAATGGAATGTCTAGTGCTTTTCCTAATGAGGGCAATGATTTTTTTTTCTAGGAATAATAACATTTTAATTTTGTTTCTTGATTTCATAGTTACACCCCTAAAAAAGAGGAAGAAGATAGTCAACCTGCTAAAAAAACATATACTTGGAATACAAAAGAAGAAGCAAAGCAAGCTTTTAAAGAGTTATTAAAAGAAAAGGTATTTCATATTTGATCTCTATTTGAATATTTTTGATGGTGTTTTATATTACAAAATAATTACAGATTTCTTAAGTTATTCTTTTTTTTATTAATTTATTTTGATTTATCAATAATCACTTCCATATGCTTTTGAGTTGAAAATTTTTCTCCCCCTTCCTCCTCACCACCCTCCTCAAGACAGCACACAGTCTGATATAGGCTATACATTTACATTCATGTTAAACATATTTTCACATTAGTGATGTTGTAAGTAGAAATTAAAACCAATAGGAGGAGCCATCAGAAAGAGGAAACAAAACTCAACAGAAGAGAAGAAAAAAAAATAGCAATTCAACTTCCATAGTTCTTTCTTTGGATGTGGATAGCATTTCCCATCACAAGGCCTCTGGAGATGTCTTAGATCCTCGTATTGCCATGGTATAGAGCAGCACTTCTTAAACTGTGGGTCATAAAATACAGTTTTAAGAAGTGTTGAAGGGGTCACAAGTGAAAAAAGTTTAAGAAGCCCTGGTATAGAGAAGAGGCTTGAAAAAGTAAGAGAAAGTACTAATACTTTAAGTTAAGTTTATCAATATTAGTCATCGCACAACGTGGCTATTATTGTGTACAACGTTCTCTTGGTTCTGCTCACTTCACTCAGCATCAGACCATACAAGCCTTTCAGGTTTTTCTGAAGTCGGCCTGTTTGTCATTTCTTATAGCACAATAGTATTCCATCACATTCATATACCACAACTTGTTCAGCCATTCCCCAATTGATGGGCATCCTCTCAATTTCCAATTCTTTGCCATCACAAAAAGAGCTGCTATGAATATTTTTGTACATGTGGGTCCTTTTCCCATTTGTATGATTTCTTTGGGATATAGCCCTAAAAGTGCTATTGCTGGGTCAAACGGTATTATGCACAATTTTATAGCCCTTTGGGCATAGTTCCAAATTGCTCTCCAAAATGGTTGAATCATTTCACAACTCCACCAGCAATGCATTAGTGTTCCAATTTTCCTATATCTTCTCCAACATTCATCATTTTCCTGTTTTGTCATGTTGGCCAATCTGATAGGTGTGATGTCGTACCTCAGAGTTGTTTTGATTTGCATTTCTCTAATCAGTAATGATTTAGAGCATTTTTTTGATATGGCTATAGATGGTTTTTAATTTCTTCATCTGAGAAATGCCTATTCATATCCTTTGACCATTTATCAATTGGGGAAAACAAGTTACTATTTTAAAACTGTTCAATGCCTTATTTTAGAGCTACTTGAAGACATGTAGTTAGTAATAATATAACCCTAGAAACAGGACTGTGTTTCTTTGTCCTTTTGAAATAATGTACATTTTAGTATGTACTATATCTTAGACACTATTTTTCCTGCACATGGTTTTTTTGGGGAGTGGGGGGGTCCAGGATGAGGCAGTCAGGGTTAAGTGACTTGCCCAGGGTCACACAGCTAGAGCTAGTAAGTATCAAGTGTCTGAGGCCAGATTTGAACTGAGGTTTCCCTGACTCCAGGGCTGGTTCTCTTGCACAAGTTGCAGAGATGGTAGAATTAGAATAGCAAAGCTTGTTTCAGCACTTGAGCTTGTCTTGAAAAATATTTTTTAGAAAATAGTGCAATTTTATGATTTCATCATTTTGAAGATGTGCTTCTCTTTCTATTTTAAATATATATAAAGAAAACATTTCCATATAAGAAGGTAACAAAAAACAGATATTTTAGGTTAATATCATAACTATTAATATTCCCACTTAAATTATATAATTTATCTTAACAGCGAGTACCATCTAATGCCTCGTGGGAGCAAGCAATGAAAATGATTATTAATGATCCCCGATACAGGTAGTACTTTTCTTTGTCTACATTTCCTTGGAAATTCAAGTTTAGAATACTTATGTTAGTTTTCTTGAAAATTTAATCATTCAAAAACAGAACCTGACTTAATTCTTTTGGAATTTTGTGAAGTAGTTTGATTATAGTAGAAGTTCCTTTAAACTATTTTAGTGGATTAAGCATCGAGAATTGAATGTGCTTAGGACTACATGGTTGTGTTGGGTTTTTTGTCTTTTATTTGTTTGTTTTTAATGGTGTTTTTGTTTTTTGCTTTTTTGGTGAAGCAATCGAAGTTAAGTGACTTGCCTAGGGTCACACAGCTAGTTAAGTGTCATGTCTCTGAGTCAGGATTTGAACTCAGGTCCTCCTGACTCCAATGCCAGAGCTCTATCTACTGCACCACCTAGCTGCCCCTTAATGTTTTATTTTTTCCCCCAATTTCATGCAAAAACAATTTTGAACATTCATTTTTTTTTTTTTAATTTTGAGTTCCAAATTCCCTTTCTCCCCCACTCCCCCTCATTGAGAAGGCAAGCAATTTTGTATAGGTTATGCATGGGCAGGCTTGCAAAACATTTTCAGATTAGTCACGAGGGTGTTTTGTTTTTAAGATCCTTCATATTTTACTTTTCATCAACAGTAACTACTTATTTCCTCCATTGTGTGGTATTTTGTGAAGCATAGGCTTTATTTTCCCTTTCTAAAGTTAATATTATAAGATTTTTTTTCTTTTCCTTTTCAGTGCCCTGGCAAAGCTTAGTGAAAAAAAGCAAGCCTTTAATGCATATAAAGTCCAGACGGAGAAAGAAGAAAAAGAAGAAGCAAGATCAAAATATAAGGAAGCTAAAGAATCCTTTCAACGGTTTCTTGAAAACCATGAAAAAATGACTTCCACAACCAGATATAAGTAATTTCTCAAAATGTTTTTTTTTTTTCACTCCATTTTTTCCATTTCAAGCTATTTGTTTCGGTTTCCAGGGGAAATAATTCTTAAGCACATTTATACTTAAAAATTTACATATAGACATGTACAAATTACATTAATTTTTAACTTAAAAGTGCCTACATAAATTCTTAGGTATGCAAAATCATTATTAATCAGAGCATTAATTTAAAATAATAAATTTTAAAATATTATGACATTATAACAATAGACATCAAATGACAAGGCTTAGTAGCATAATTTGCACATTGAGGAATTTGCTGAATGCCAACTTTTTTTTTGACATGCAGAAAAGCTGAACAAATGTTTGGAGAGATGGAAGTATGGAATGCAATATCTGAGCGAGATCGTCTTGAAATTTATGAAGATGTCTTGTTCTTTCTTTCAAAAAAAGAAAAGGTGATTTTTTTTTCCTACCCATCTAGAGTTCCCTGTTTCTTTTGCTGGGTTTCAGGGTCTTCTTTTTCCAATAATACTGAGCTTTTAACTTCTTAGAAGTAGAATACCTTTGTTGGAGGGCGGGGATTCATATTCACACACAAACCAGTTAGTTAAGGCTTAAGTGCTTTCTATGTGCCCATAGTGGTGATACAAATAGAAAAGGTAGCCACTCCCTACACTTGAGGAACTTTTTTCTTTTTTTTTTTTTTAAATGAATTTACTATTTATTGGGGCAGCTAGGTGGCACTGAGTTTGAGTACCAGAACTGGAGTCAGAAAGATTCAGCTTTCAGAATTCAAATCTGACCTCAGATACTTACTAGCTATATGACCCTGGGGAAGTCACTTAATCTTGTTTGTCTCGATTTCCTTGCCTGCAAAATGAGCCAGGAAAGGAAATGGTAAACCACTCCAGAATTTTTGCAAAGAAAACCCCAAATTGGATCATGAAGAGTTGGACATGAATGAAAACAACCTGTTTGCCCAATATGTACTTTCCCCCATTTTCCTCCCAGAAAGCCATCCTTTATAAGAAAGAATTTAAAAGAGGAGCAAAAACAGTAAAACCAACCAAAAGATAACCAAGTCTGACATTTTTATACAGCATTCTCTGTATAAAATGTATACAGTTCCATGTTGATAGTTCCCAACCTTCATAAAATACAGGGGGTTGCTTTTTCGTGTCTTCTCTTAGGTCAGTCTAGGTAATTGTTAATTTCACAGCATTAAGTTTTAATTTTGTCTCTGTTTTACTTTTTTACATGGTCATGTATATTTCATTTTCATTGTTCTACCTTATTTTTTTATATAAGTTCACGTAAGTGTGACCTTGCTTCTTTGTAGTCATTATATGCATCATTCCTTACAGGGTGGTAATATTACTTCCCATTCATGTAGCATAACTTTTTTATTCCCCAGTCAATTGACATCTACTTTGTTTTCGATTCTTGGCTACAACACATAGCTGCTATAAAAATTTTGGTATGTGTCAATGACCTCTTGGGAGCATACACATAATAGTGGGATCTTGGGTCTAAAGGTATTTTAGTCACTTTCTTAGCATAATTGTAAAGTGCTTTGAAAGGAAAAGGAGGGAAGGGAAAAAAAATTTATATAGTGACTGTTTGTGCCAGGCACTGTGCTAAACATTTCATAAATATTAACATTTTGTCCTCACAACAACCTTCTGAGTTGCTATTATTACCCCCATTTTACAGATAGGAAACTGAGGCAAACAGTTTTAATGACTTGCCACAGGCTCATTAAGTATCTGAGGCTGGCTTTTAACCCAGGTTTTCCTGGCTCCTCTGTGCCACCTCACTAGTTTTCTGAATGAGAATACCTATTTCTTAGTAACACATGAGACCTGTGTGGTAGAACACAGAAATTATTTTAGCATTTCTGCCTTTTTATACATACTAAAATATTCATAATACTTTTTGTATTAGCAAAGAACTTAAAAACAAAGTAGATGCCAGTCAACTCAGGAATAGCTAAAATAAGTTGTCCTACGTAAATGTAAACCAAAGATGAAAGTTTAAATCTTGAAAATTATAAGAAAAAAAACTAGTGATATTCAGATTAAACTGATTCTTTTTAAAAAACTAACAAAAATTGACAGACTTCTAACCAACCTGGTAGAAAAGAAGAGGGAGCAAAATCATATTAACAGTAAACAAATAGAAAATGAACAAAGTGAAATCATAACAGAAAAGGAATTTTAAAAATCAACCTTCTATTCAGAGTTATATACTACTAAAACTTAGAATTTTTGTAAAAGAATTATCAGCAAAACAAATTATAATCAAATTTCAGAAAAGAAATTAAAATAATGTTAAAGGTGCTATGGGGGAGGAAGGAAGAATATGCTCCTATTTGCAGAATTCTCTCAGACTTTTAAAGAAAAATTAGTACCCATATTACTAAACTGATTCTCAAAAGTCGAGAAAGAAAAAACGTCCACCAAATTTATTTAGTGAGATATATACTGAAGCCAAGAAAGGGTAAACCAAAGAGAAAGAGACCAGTATTTATGCCGGGCATGCAAGTATAATTCAATGCTATGAAAACACTTAACAATTAAAATAAATTAAAAAAAAAAAACAACAACATGGTCATAGTCATATCATAGAGTAAAAGCTTTATTTTAACAATATTTTTTACGCAGAATACTGTGTTTTTGTTTTTGTTTTTTTATTTTAGTTTTAGGCAATTGGGGTTAAGTGACTTGCCCAGGGTCACACAGCTAGTAAATGTCAAGTGTTTGGTCTGAGGCTGGATTTGAACTCAGGTCCTCCTGACTTCAGGGCCAGTGCTATATCCACTGTGCCACCTAGCTGCCCCCTCAGAATACTTTGTACTAACATTTTTGCTTGTTTATATATCAGTAAAAAGGAACATGTAGTGTTCTGGAAGGACTAATGGAGTCATGAAGGACTTAATGGTTTGTTATGTTGAATAGTCTGACAATTATGGAGCATCTGAGTTTTTAAAAAGATTCTTTGTGGTTGATGTATCAGTTGGTTTGTTATAAGGGAAGGTTCATTGACAAGGGATAGGTCAGTACAGAAATGATGGCAAAAGCAAAATGTAGCAATGAAACTTATAAAAATAAAATTGTTCTTTGTATCTTTCTTGGTAGGGGCCTTTTGCACATAAATAACAATATTTTTTGGGTAACTGAAAAGAGACTAGTTTTTGAAACTTGTAAGTACACAGTCCTTTTTGTAGACCATTCCACAACATAACCTCCTGAATAGGAAATACCTAACCAAAAGTTGTTAGGTATTTTTTTTGAAGATAGTTTATAAATAGTTCACTCTTTAATTTTGATAACTTGGCAAGCAAGGAACAACTTACAAGCTTTCATGACAACATAAGGGGTTACATAGTCCAAGAAACTTGACTTTGGACTGCAGTTTTAAGATAGTAATGTAGTCCTTGTCATGAGTGAGGATAGAGATTGAATAGCCCCAAATAAGACAAAGTGAGGAACTGAGTTAATGATGCTTAGAGGATTACCTGAAGAATCCATAGAACAAGTTAACTTGAGTCTGAACCTGATAATATAAAAATGTTAGCTAACATTTAGATGGTGCCTTAAGATTTGGAAAGCATGAACTCATTTAATTCTCATCATTCTGTGAGGTAAGTGCTGTTAATATCCCCATTGTATAGATGACTAAGCTCAAGCATACAGTGGTTAAGTAACTTGCCTAGGGTCACAACAGCTATTAAAAAGTCTTAGGCTGGTTTGAACTCTTGTCAACCTAACTCCAAGTCCAATACTCTGTTGAAGATATATGTAAGGAGATAAGGTGTAACCCTTACCCTTATTGTGAATGCTTCAAATTTCCCCAAAAAACCCAAAACAAGAACATTTTTTCATTGAGTTGGCTAATAAATTACATATATTTGAAGACAAACGTAGCAGTGACTCTTTGACGTCCGGATATCATTTACTTCTGCTTATGTGTTTTGATACTGTTGTTGCAGGAACAAGCAAAGCAGTTGCGAAAGAGAAATTGGGAGGCCTTAAAAAATATACTTGACAACATGGCTAATGTTACCTACTCCACTACTTGGTCTGAAGCCCAGCAGTATCTGATGGATAACCCTACCTTTGCAGAAGATGAGGAGCTACAGAGTAAGGATAATCAAGAAATACTTTTGTAGAAACCCAGCAGTTTTAAAAAGAGGATTTTCTAGAAATAAGTGAATTATTTTTACTTGGCATGAGAGATTTGTAATTTAACACCTTATAATATACAGTGGCATACAAAATAACTGGGGTAAACCTTACAACTTTATATCTTTGAAAAAACTTAATATGTAATATGTCCTTTTGCTGCAGTCACATGATTTGTCAATTTTACTTCACAAGATTTTGTCACATCCTTAATTCATCATGAAACCTTATTTTCAACATCTTGAATATTAACTCTGCCTTTGACAAACAATCCATTTTTCCAAGTCTAACCTGTGTGATCATAGGTTTTAATCAGGCAAGTTTCCAAGTCATTGAAGCCTATCTGTTCTTAGATACGTGTCTTTCTTGACCTGATGTAGGATACAAAGTCATCTTGTAATATTTTGTCTCCATTTAAAATTTTTGTGATTTGGAACAATTCTGCTTCTCAACATCTGTTCATCATTTTCTCTGGACAAATGTTCCAAGCTCACTGAAAGTTTAAAATACTTTTTTTTTTCCAAAAAACTTTTTGAGGGCTATTTTACCGTCTGATATGATGCCCATCATCAGTTTCTGTGCATTATCTTACCCAATGATAATTTTTTTTTATTCATACCAACAATGTCTGTTTTTACTGGTCTTACAGCTGTGCTTTTAACTTTAAGAAGCCTATACTGTTCTGTTATAGAGGACTCAGTAACAAGTTACCCTTCCAGTAGATAGAGCCCTCTGAAAGTGTTTGGTTTTTTTCCTAAGAGTTATTCAGCTGTATTGTAATGCAATAGACAGTCAGTTGTTGACATATTTCTGCACACCAACAGCTCTGCAATATCACTAGTAGTCATTAAGTGTGCTCATTAGAGCATAATTAGCATATTTCCTTAGAGTACTACCCAGTTTTAAAAACACAATAAAAGACAGCATTGAAACATGGCTGCATGGTACAAAATCCAGCACTCAGATGACAGAGGTAACTAAAGGTGGGGAACCCAATTCAAAGCAGCTTCATTTGATCAGTGCCAGCCTTCTGTTAGTAGAAGTACTCATATATGACTATTGCTATCATAAATGAAACCATTTCAAAGTTATTGTTTATCAGGAAATAATTTGGACAGCACTATAAGTTGTCCATTTCTAGAAAATGTGTTAATTATTCCTAAAATGGAAACTTTCCAAGACAGAAGCCTTGAAATTGACTAAAATACTCCTTGTCAGTTGTAGGTGAATTTCATTGATCATTCACATTTATTACCCCACAATTTTGATTTCCATAACCTTAAGTTTTGTTTTTTCCTTTGTCAGACATGTTAGGTCACTTTTTAAAATTTTATTTTATTTTTTTTTTTATTTTTTTAGCTCGGCAGTGGGGTTAAGTGACTTGCCCAGGGTCACACAGCTAGTAAATGTTATGTGTCTGAGGCTGGATTTGAATTCAGATCCTCCTGAATCCAGGGCCAGTGCTCTATCCACTGCGCCACCTAGCTGTCCCATGTTAGGTCATTTTTTAAAAGGAAGTCCTTATTGTATAGCATTTTATTGACAGGAAATTAATCTTACTTTCCTTACTCAAGTAGTTATGTTTAAAGCATTTTTTTCCTCGTTAGACATGGACAAAGAAGATGCATTGATATGCTTTGAAGAACATATCCGGGCTTTAGAAAAAGAAGAGGAAGAAGAAAAACAGAAGAGTTTGTTACGAGAAAGGAGGCGGCAGCGTAAAAATAGAGAATCTTTTCAGGTTAGTATTTCACTTTTCCCATGCTGTGGAGATGACCCTAACATCTTGATGGCTGTATCAGCAAGGTGAAAGCTTTGGCAGCTTTCATACTGGAAAGCCTTCAGATATTTTCTCAACAGCAGACTCTGCTTTCTGAGATCCAGTCTGGCTCGAATACAGAAATTCATTCTCTGTAAGATGCACTTCTTGGGGTTTTGCCCTTTTTAAAAGTTCATGAGACAATTAAATGTAAAATAACCTTCAGTACTCTGGAGGGGATGCCATTTACTTCTGTAGTGACTAAGAGAAAAGCAGATAGAAGATATTAAAGAGCAGATGGTTTTTTTAAGCCATTTATAAAAGCCTAGTTAGTATATTCTAAATGTAAAGTTCTTATTTAGTAACCAGTGAGGTTACATAGTTTTGGAAGAATTTAATCATATTCATCTTTATGGACAAAATGAGGCCAGAGAGTTTAAATGAATTACCCAAAGTCACATAGATACTAAGGAGCTGAGCCAAGATCTGAACCCATGTCTTCTGACTCCAGAACCATGCACTTCACTTCCTCCTTATTACCGCACATGAAATAGTGGCTCATAGGTTGTTATTATCTCATGGAAAGGAACTGAGAACGTCAACTACTGGTACATAGTATTTTTCCCATTTCTCTATAATCTTCTAGAGTAATGTATACATGTATTGAGGGCAAACCTTGATGAAACTATCAGAAAGGAAGAGATTGGCATTTGAAAGTGATATTCTATAGCAGATCCTGTCTTCATGGTCACACAAGTATAGAGAATATATAAGATCCCACTTGTGATCTCTGGTAATTCCATTCACTGGTTTGTGCAGCCTGAATTAGAGTAATGCAACTACTTCACATGAACACTTAATCTTTCTTATCTGTGCTAATTGGCATCTGGTGGTATGAAAGTCTGTGACTATAGCAAAACTGATCTTTTGATTAATGTTAAGCAGTAATAAAATAGGAAGACATGACTGTCAAAACTGTTGTTCTCCACTATCAAATGCATAATCCAGATAAAAGAGGAGTTTGTAAGGAAGATGAGGTCTTTTGGACATTCCTTTTTCGCAGTTGACACTGCTGATTGCATCATTCCTTAGAATATTTCAGAGCCTTCAAAATGTAGTACATAATTGTTCAAGAATCTCTACCTAGGTGAAGGATGCCTGTTGTCTAGATTTGTTATGCATTTGGATGGCATACCTATAAAACTGGTCTGTCAGTACATATATTTTTGGAAAGACACTACAGATCAACAGAGAACATACTCAAAAATAAATAGAACAGATTGGATTGCCTGTGAGTTGTGCACTTCATTTTGTGACCCGAAACTTTTCCGAGGGGGGGAACAACTCAGACTTTTGGTGGCCCTTCTCATCAAAGCAAACCCCTCTACATGCACATATGATCACATTTGTGTCCCATGTTCTCTAACAAAATGTCTTCCCTATCACCTGTATTCTACATTTTCTCTCTGTCTGCTGGCTTCTTCCCTACTACCTATCAATAAGCCCATGTCTCTCATCCTCAATAAAACCCTCCCTTCATCCATCTCCACTAAGTCATCTTATATATCTTTCCTTCCCTTCATAGTTAAGTTATTTGAAAAATTCTTATAGTCAGTGTCTCCACTTTTTCTCCTCTCTTAACTCTATGGTCTGCTTCTAATCTCATTCATTTGAAATTGCTCTTTCCAAATTACTAATGATCTCTTAATTGCCAAATCCAATGGTTTTTTCTCAGTCCTTATCCTTTTTGTTTTCTCTGTATCCTTTGACACTGAAGCTCCCTTTTCTCTGGGCTTTTCTTTTTATTTTATACCATTCTATCCTGGTTCTCCTACTTAGCTGACTGCTCCTCAGTCTCTTTTGTTCTGTCTTTTAGGTCATGCTCATTAATAAGAGATGTTCTCAAAGGTTCTGTCCTGGGCTCTTTCCTTTTCTCCTGTACTATTGGTGATCTCATCAGCTCCCATAAATTCAGTTATTACTTGTACATATAGATGATTCTCAGATCTACTCATCTAATCTTAATTTCTTTCTTGACCTTCAGTCTTAAATCTTCAACTCCTCTTAATACCTTTTGAACGGGATGTCCCATAGATATTTTAAACTTAACATGTCCAAAATTGAACTTGTTAACCATTGCACTAATCTCTAACCTCTTCCTTCTTCCTAACTTTCCTATTACTATCTGGAGTAAGAGTCACTGGAATGAAGGGATGGACTTTGCCCTTTCATGGACCTATGAGAATTGTTTTTACATTCTTTGAAAACAATAAAATGTAAGCACCATTATTAGCTTACCAGCAGGACTTCTACTCTAGGGCACTACCATCCTCCCGGTCACCTAGAATTATAACCTAGATGGTGTCCTCAACTTTTCACTACTCTCACACGTTTCCCACCCCCCTCATATCTATTTTATTGACAAATCCTACCCTCACACATCTGATTTTTTTTTGCTTTTCTTTGTATTCCCAGCTCTTAACACAGTGCTTGGCACATAGTATATTCTTAATAAATGTTTGTTGATTTGACTTGGAGATACATGACTAAGTTATAAAATACCACAGTCTGTAAAGAACTCAAGGTGCAGGTCATCTATGGAGAGGTAAATAGTATGAGAAAGTGGGTAGCAGCATCAGTATTAGCAACATATAGGTACCAAAGAGAAGTGGCATACAAGTTAACTTTATAGAGATGTGTAACTGGAAACAGTTATTGAGGTTGAGAGCTATAATTGAGTCCTTACTGAACAGTTATCATGTGCAAAGGTCTGGTTAGTACAGGAATTTTGACAGTCTTTCACATTAGCAAATTCTTAAATACTAAAATTGTCTATGGTATCTCTTTGATTGGAAGTATTTTTTAAAATGGGAACTTAGCTGTTGAATATAACTTTGATATAAGTAGGCTGGGATGAGTATTTGTAGGGTTTTCTTGAGCACAATTTAAAATAACATGTGACTTTTATGTTTATATAGCTGATTTTTATCTAAATATGAATATTTTCAGATATTTTTAGATGAATTGCATGAACATGGACAGTTGCATTCTATGTCATCTTGGATGGAGTTATATCCAACAATTAGTTCTGATATTAGATTTACCAACATGCTTGGTCAGCCTGGTAAGGTTATTTTCCTTCCTAACTTACAATTTGATTGTGTGTGGAATGGACAGATGGGGGGAGGTCATTTTGAGTGGGAGATATTTTTTTTTCTAAATGAAAAAAGTAATTGCAGCTCTTTGGTTAGAGCTAGCTTTTGACTTCTCTAGTTTTTTCATTAGGATCAACTGCACTTGATCTTTTCAAGTTTTATGTTGAGGATCTAAAAGCACGTTATCATGATGAAAAGAAGATAATAAAAGACATCCTAAAGGTAAAGAGATGAGATGTGTTTCATTGAATGGCTTAACAATGGTAAACAGCTAACTGTATTTAAGGTCTCTCTGAATTTGGATTTTATGTTTTTCTCATATAAATGAGATATTTGTTTTATAGGATAAAGGATTTCTGGTTGAAGTAAATACTACCTTTGAAGATTTTGTTGCAGTAATCAGTTCAACTAAAAGATCAACAACATTAGATGCTGGAAACATCAAATTGGCTTTTAATAGTGTAAGTTACTGTCTTACCTTACAGAACTTTGTACTAATAAAATTAACATTTATGAAAATATGTTCAGTGAAGTAATATTTAGTTTTGATGTTATGAGTAAGGGACATCAGGTAGGATGACAGTTGTATTTTGCAAGGGAGAGAAATTGAAGCCCCTTGGAATATCATGTATCAACTAATGTTAAAACTGTATCAGTTAAAATTATTGTGATACTGTTTTGTTGTAATAGAATTCAGAATGTGTCAAAAATAATATGAATTTAAAACTGTATTTACTTGCTGCTATATCTACTGCTAAGAAGGAAATCTTCTCTTTAGTTGTTAGAAAAGGCAGAAGCCCGTGAACGGGAAAGAGAAAAGGAAGAGGCTCGTAAGATGAAACGAAAAGAGTCTGCATTCAAGAGTATGTTGAAACAAGCTGCTCCTCCGATAGAATTGGATGCAGTCTGGGAAGATGTATGTATTTATGCTTTCTTGTATTTGTACAATTCACTGTAGATATTTCATTAATAATATTGCCATGTATTGCAAAACCAATGTAAAAGGGTCCTTCAAGGGCCAATCTCCTCCTTTTTCACATAAGGATACTGAGGCCCATAAAGATCATAGGATCATAGATTAAAAGCTTAGCAAGAGCTCTTTTTCTGAGGTCAAATTGGTAGCGAGTGGCAGAGCCAGTATTTGAATATAAGTCCTCTGGCTTCTGGGTGCAGTGTTCTCTGTACTGTTTTCTGCTGTCAAAATATTCCTAATTCATTTTACTTTACTATTCTTTGTCTAATTGTGTAGTCTAAATAGAAGTTGAAGGTAGTTAGCTCAATTTAATGTGAGAAAAAAAGTATGGATTACTCATACTTTTAATATCACTTGTTTTACCTTAGGCTTTTGGGGGATTACTGGGACTGTCTTTTTTGAAGCATAAACATGGAAGTTGTAGAATGCTTTGCCTCTTTTTATTTTGAAAATTATGGATTCATTTATGTTTATTAATATCATTGTGGACTTTTCATATAGATTCGAGAAAGATTTGTAAAGGAACCAGCATTTGAAGACATCACTCTAGAGTCTGAAAGAAAAAGGATATTTAAGGATTTCATGCATGTGCTTGAGGTAATTTTAATCTAGTTATAGTAACTGTCTTTTATACCGTTGTTTATATGTTTGCTGCACAGAAGGGTTTTGTTTTAGTTTATTTAATATCTCTTTTGTTTTTAAACATTAAATCTATAGTTCAGTCCAAAAATTTAAGGTTATAGCACCATTTAGTTTCTTCATGTTAAATAGATTTATTTTATCAGTGCAAATAAAATATCCCCTCTGTTATCTGGCTTTGGGAAAGGAGATAGTCTGATTAACCCAGTTTAGATTTAAGTACTATCATCTCTTGCATAATATGTGAGGATCCTTCTTAAGTACCTTTTCATTGTAGAACACCTTCTTATCATTATTATTAGTCTTAATTAGTCTTTTTAAAAAAAATTTAAACACAAATTTTCAATCTGGTGGTCAGACGGCAGTGTCAACATAATTTAACAAAGTTATGGTCATTTTTCTTTTGCCAAAAATAAACCTAGAAGGAAATTAAAATCCTTCCCCAAAATGTCATCCAGGTAGTATTTCAGATGTTCATGAGAAATGATGGGTATATCAAAAAAAATTTTGATTAGAAGTAGAAAAAAAAAATAGAAAAAGTTCTGAAAGATGAGGTAGTTGGAAAGTACTTGTTAGGATAACACAATTATGCCCAACCACTTTCACATTGCACCTGGATCTCTTAGCTAAGAGAGTAAATTTAGACTGAATCTTTCTCTTGAGACTGTATGGGCAGTCAGCTTTTGCTTTTCATCATTTGCTCTAACTTCCTAGCTTGAAATTTAGTACTCAGTAGAAATGTTAATTTGCTATGTCGCTAATGATATAGAAATTTAAAAAAATTTATTCTTGAAATCTTCAGTATAAAACAATTTTGTTACATTAGTAATTAGACTTCACTGGATAAAAATTTCCTGGAAATGCCTATAAACAAATATTAAATAAAGTTATCAGTTTTTCTCTTTTCACTGATATTTCTCTACTCTGCATTTACTTTAAATGTTGACTGTTTTTCCCTGTTGTTATAATTATCCCTGTAATAATGTCTCCTGTCTACGACCAACTTAGCTAAATGCAGAATGGCTCATCACCAGCAGTTTGGCCACTGGATGAAGATTTAGGGGGAAGTGGGAAGTGGAGTCAAGAGCTTGACAGTCCAAATGATCCCATCTCACTCTCCCATGCTGGCTCCTTATCACTACATCAAGAGTATCTATTCCTTGGCCCCTTGCTGGTTTTCTTGAGTATTGGAAGATACCTGGCAGTAGGAGCTTGAGTCATGAGGCTGTGAAATGAGGAAGAAAACATGATGCTGTCTGTGCTATATGGTACAATTCAAGTGAGGCATGATAGAAAAGGGGAGTAGGGAGAGCATAGGGAAAATGGATTTGGGGGCTTTTTAATGTCTTGAGTAGCATCAGAGGAATTCTTCTGATTTAGCCTTCTGCCTTTTTAATATTAAAAGACAAGTTTGGTTTACCTTAGGCAGAATATGATTTAAGAGGCAAGGTGATAGCCTCCTTTTGGTTCCCCAGCAGCTTTGCAGGGGTTTTGAATTACAGAGCCCTTCATTTCATAGTTGGAGGAAAAAAGAATTGAAAATATTTGGGAGGATTGACACACTGGTATTTATCAACTTATAGAAGATACCTGATTCATTCTGGTTTTGCAAGGTGGTTCAAAAAGTAAGAAGACCACTGTTGTGTATTTAAAGAGGGAGTGGGGGATAACATGGCAGGTAGTAGAAAAGAAAAAGAAAGAATATACCATAGTTTTCCCATTTTTGCCACTGGATAATCCTGCTATCGATCTTTATGTGGTGGAGAATTATGTATTTTGGGAGATCATTGGCATAGAAGCTTAGGGAACTAAATTAACCAGCATACGCTTGTTTAAATATGATCGTTGTCACTGTGCTTTTTAAGGAGTAGGGTGTTAATGTATTTCAGCATGTTAGAAAATCAGTTACCTAGACTACAGCAAATAATTCAACCTCATTTATGCCACTTCTCATCTGGACTAGGCTCCCTACTCCCTATTCTGTCATATTATAGATGTATACTTTTTAGACCATTGTTGGAGGGAGGTGTACAACCATTTGGATAGTATTAAAAATTTAACTTTGAAATTGCCTTGGCTAATAATGTATAAAATGGTTACTTATTAATGCCTATTTTGAGGACTTCTAGATATTTATTTAGATATGTTCGTCTGGCCCTTTCTCATACATACATCTGGTGGATCATTAGGAATGGGTACAAGGTGCTATCTAAAACAAATCTAATTCTTTGTTTTCCCCTTAAACTTTAGCATGAATGTCAGCATCATCATTCAAAGAACAAGAAACATTCTAAAAAATCTAAAAAACATCACAGGAAACGTTCACGTTCTCGATCGGTAAGATTCTTGTTCACAGAATATGACCATAAGTAGGTTTTTCTCAGAATTATTATGAATTTGCATCTTAAATGGTTTCTCTTAGGGCTCAGATTCAGATGATGATGACAGCCATTCAAAGAAAAAGAGGCAAAGGTCAGAATCCCGGTCTGCTTCAGAACGTTCTTCTAGTGCTGAGTCTGGTGAGCTTTTCTCTTAATCTTGTTAAACTGACTTGAACTTATGTTGCCTCGGAGTCTAACATTCTTTCTCCCTTATCTTTCTTAGAGAGAAGTTACAAGAAATCGAAAAAGCATAAGAAGAAAAGCAAGAAAAGGAGACACAAATCTGTAAGTTAGCCAGTCTTCATGTGGTGGCTCACCAATAGTCAAGCATTAAGTGCTAAGTCTTGATACAGAGAAAGTACAAAAATGACAAGGTGTAGTGGCACAAGCCTGTATAGTCCCTGCCACTGAGAAGGCTGAGGCTAGTGGATCACTTGAGTTCACGAGTTCTCAGCTGAACTAGGGCTAAAGCCAATTAGTTGTCCACACTAAGACTGGCACTAATGTGATGAGCCCCCAGAGAGGATAGACCACCAAGATAACTGAAGAGGGGACAAACCAGTCCAGGTTAGAAAAATAGAATGGATTAAAGTTTACTTGCTGATCAGTATTTGGATCAGGTCCATGGGTATTGACTTAATTTCCAGCCTAGGCAAAATATAGATCCATTCTCAAGAAAAATGGTTGTCTTTCCTTCATGGAGTGAACATTCCAGCATGGGCTTGGGGTAAGATGTAAGATATGTACATATTATAGGTATATGCAAGATACATACAGAGTAGTACTGTACTATTTGATGATCTTTCTGGTTCACTGTATTCCAGCACACAAAGCTCAGTTACAAAACCAAGTTTTACTACATTGTGTGAAATTTTGGGGCCCCACACTGTATGGTTGGAAATATATCCAACTGGTACAGCTTTATAATATTTATAATATTTAACAACTAATGTCTTCTAGGTGTTCCCTGTTATCACTTTTGAACCCACCTCATCACATTTTTAGTCCAGGATGACTTTCATTCTAGGTTCTGACTTGTGGAGTTTTTGATTCTACCCTGATTCCTTTCCTGTTTGTGCTCCAATTGCACCTCTTTTGGGTTTTAGCCCCTCCACTTTGCATTAGCCCATTTTCCATGTTCTTTGATTTTTCTGTCTGTGGTCGCCTTACATCTGTCCCTCAGACAACCTTATCTTAGTTCATAGAGTCGTAGGTTGGGAGATGGAAGTGATTAGAGAGTATTGACTCCAACCACCTTCGTTTTGCCGATAAAATAAGTTCTGATTGGTAGTGTCAGAGCCAGGAACTGAACCCAGGCCTTCCAAATTCAGTCTTCTTTCCACTACGTGAATCCCTTTTACACTATATTTATGAATTTCTAATATATACCCATAATAGCTCTCTTTAATTCATATTCACTTTTTGGGTAGGTGGAACAATCTGTCAGGCATTCCTGTACCTAATATGTGAGAAGATTTACCTGGCTGCTAAAGGCCTAACTAACATTTTATTATGAGAGGTAGAGAATATGACATGGTTATATGTTACAAAAGCAGAGCTTTAGGTAGCCACTTTAAAAAGTTTTATTGACAATCTTTTGTTTATATCATTATTTCCCCAATATATCTTTCCCTGGCTGAGAGGGCATCCATGAGAATAAAAATAAAAAGGTGAAAAAAGCAGTTTAATAAATAAATCAACACATCAGTTAAATCTGACCATATATGCAATCCTCCTGCAAAGGGAAGGGATTGCTTTCTCATAACTTTTCTTCAGGCTCAAGCTTGATTATTACAAGTACTTAGCACTTATTTTTGAGTTTTTTGTTTTTCCTATTATTTCTTGGTTTATTCTGTACCTTCTTATAAATTCATCATTTCTTATCCTGAGGTAGTTCATTACGTTCACACATTATAGTTTTTTTTAGCCATCTCTCAATTAATGGTCATTTACTTTGTTACCAGTTATTTGCAACTATAAACAATATTATATATATTTAACCTTCATTTTACCTTCTTGGGGTACACACCTAATAGTATATCAAGTCAAAGACTGGACATTTTTGTCACTTTCTTGGCATAATTCCACATTGTTTTCCAGAGTAATTAAATCATTTCACAGCTTCACCAGCAGTGCTTTTTAGAATGCCTGTCTTTCTACTTTCAGAGAAGCATTTCTTAATGATATTAGAATGCCATGTTCCTGCCGTGAGCCCTCCCGCAAAAGACAAATATCTCCTTATTAGTGGATCTAAGAGAACACTAACCTGCTATTTTGTACAAGATGTATCTTAAATGTTATCCCAATGAATAGTTTTTAAATAGTGATGCACTTTCTTAACAATTACGTGCCTTTTGTAGGATTCTCCAGAGTCTGATGCTGAACGAGAAAAGGATAAAAAAGAAAAAGAACGAGAAAATGAAAAAGATAGAACTAGGCAGAGATCAGAATCAAAACACAAATCACCTAAAAAGAAGACTGGAAAGGATTCTGTAAGTATTTTTTCATGTTACCTCAAGTGTATGTTTTCTCTTTACACAGATTTTTTATATACTTAATTAACTAATGTTTAGAGGCCAACCTTAGGCCAAGTATAACATCCTTAAGAAAAACCAAAGTCTCAGCTAATGTAGTGTCTCCTAAAAATGTTTTTCCATTATACATAAACATAAGGTTAGAATATTTGTAGGACTTATGAAGAAAATCTGTAGCACTGCAGGACTTATTCTAGTGAAGAATGAGGTACTATATTATGATTACAAAATCTTTCTTCAGAGCAAAAGACTGCTTGCTGTTCTTATCTGTAAAATTAAGTAGACACTTGAATTCTAGGGTGTTTCCTCTTTTGTGTCTTAGATGAGTGGAGGATAAGATTCAGAAAAGAGAAGTAGAATAGGAGACTCTCTGTTCACTTAGAGCCAAGTAAATGTCTCATAAGTTGAGATCTCTCTCAAAAGAAAGGACAGTGGAGCATCTCATATATAATCCAACCTATTTTTTTAAATCAATAGTTTTGTTTTTGTTTTTCCAGAAATTTCCAGTGTAGTTACTCTCCCTTTAAAAGCCCTCAGGTGATCTTCTATAGGAGCTTGGGGGGTGCAGTTAGGTGGCTCAGTGGATAAAGCACCAACCTTGGAGTCAGGAGGACCTGAGTTCAAATGTGGCCTCAGACACACAACACTCACTAGCTGTGTGACTCTGGGCAAGTCACTTAACCCCAGTTAGCTCACCTAAATAAATAAATAGATAAAGAAAGAAAGAAAGGAGGTAGGGAAAGAAAACTGATGAAACCTACAAAGAGCCAGAAGCTAATTCTAAAAGACAACAGGTGGAAGTCCCACCACAAACAACTGAAGAACTGCTTTCAGGTACCATGTGGAAGGTTACATAAAGTGATAATCCATCCATCTGGCAAGGAACCAGGTTTATATCAGGTTCTAAGACAAAGTCCTAATGCCTTTGGGGGTTTCTCTGGAGTTTTTCTTTGTATTTAAGACACAAAGTGGGATGGGGAGTTAAGCTGTGAAATTTGCTTTTGTATAAAGGATGTAAAACCCTTCTAAGCATTCTGATCACACTAAACATGGGGCTTTACATTGTTTCTGGAGAAATAACGTCTTAGAACTTTAATCAAGATGAAAAGCAAAATGAACTTTATGATATGCTTCCAAAAACAGGAAAAATAAGTGTGCGTACATACACATGAAAATGAATATTCAATAAATAATGATAGTGTAATTTATGCTTATTTTATGTGTGTGTCCTCTGATTAAGTCAAGTAGAACCTCTCTGGACCTTAGTTTTATGAAAGGTGAATGAGTTTGATTAGATAGCCATTAAGCTCTAGATTTCTGATCCTATAGTGTAAAAGTCTTTACCTAATAAATTAGGTTTTTGCATCATACTTTGGTTTTATTCATGGTAAAATCCGTTGAGTGGAACATAAGTGTTGTATAACTTGAGTGCACACATGATCCTAATGGATTGTGTATATTGTTTTCCTGTTTTTTTCCTCCGAAGCCACAAAGGAAGGTAAGTAGGTAATATGAACGTAAAAGTTTTATCCATCTTTATTGTGGGATAAAACTGTGATACCTTATAATAAATTTTCTTTTCAGCAAAGATTAACGGGTTTTTAAAATACCATGTAATTTTCATCTTAAGAAAAAATTTTATGTTATTTCAAGATTTTTTTAAAAATACTGTTAATTCTTGATGTCTTTCCAGGGTAATTGGGATACTTCTGGCAGTGAACTGAGTGAAGGGGAATTAGAAAAACGGAGAAGGACCCTCTTGGAACAACTGGATGATGATCAATAAATTAATTATACCAAATATATGTTTACAGTATAATTAAAAAAATGTCTAGTTCAGGACAGGGATTCTGATGTTTTAAATTCCATTGAAGCAACACTGGGTTTTAATTATATCACAGGAAGAAGTGCATTACGTAATGTTACAGTGGAGTTGACTTTAAATCTGCAAAAGAGAAGGAAATTCAAAACTGAACATGAAAACTTTTGATTCTGTATAGAGAATCATTTTCATATCATCACTCTGAAGCCCCTTTTTAGGGTACAGCAAAATAGATTAGAGATGGTGATTTATTGATTGTCCTTACTTTTGTGTTCTAAAGTCAATGCCACAAATATACATTTTTGAGGTAGTTTGAAATTTGCAGAAGTTGGATTTTGAAGATATAATGAAACCTTTTTTGATGCATAGTGGTACAAAAAAAGCACCAGCAACTGATCAAAATGCTTTTTTGTGCACTTCCTAACTGGTTTAACTGATGTGAATTTTTATGGTGAACTAAAAAAAAATAGGTGTTTTTTGATGGAAACCCTTAACTAAATAGTAGTGCTAATGGGCACTGCTGTAATTATAGCCACCATTGTTAATTTTAAGAGCATCTGGATGAATAAAACAGAAGGCTATTGTGAGGGCATTATTTGAACATCTGTTTTGAGGCGATGTTTAAAAAAGAAATTAACATCAAATCAGATTGTAAATTAATTTAAATATGTTGCCTTAAGGACCTACTAAAGAATGTGCCACCAAATTTTAAGTGACAGTTGCAATATCCTTGTCTAAAAAAAAAAATCAATGTTGACTTAAACATTTTCTTTAACAAAAGTTGTCTTGATTTAAAAAGAAATCAGATCTCTTTCCGTCTTTCTCTCTCTCTCTTTTTTTTTAATATCCTCTGTCCAGTTTTTCATTGAGGAAAACTTTTCCCTACTCAGTGAGAAGTATTGACTTCTGTGGTACACATTCTAAAGCATTTCTGATTTGAATATTTTTGTACATTTTTATCGATTATTAAACCTTCTCTTCTAGCGTGTACTAGTATTTATTTCTACTTGAAATACGCTGTACAGCTCTAACAGAAATATGGATATTTTCTGATTCAGTTAAGCAACAATGTGGTGTATTTACTCTAAGCCCGTCGAAGTTTCTCTTAATAATTCATCTTCCTTTCCCATGTAGATTACTTTGCTTTTCTAATGATACTTATAAGAGTACTTATAAATAAATCAGTGCATATGAGGCCCCTTTATTTGTGCTTCAAACTAAAATGTTCATACGTAATATTTTTGTGAGAAATTGGTTTAAGTGACGCTAGAGGCATCATGTCATATGCTTGCTTCTAGAGGTTGGTTATTTGTCACTTGAAAGATAAAACTGGCTATAGCATATTTTTTTTGTTATCAAGGAGCACTTCTTGTCCGAGAGATTTTTTTCACATTAAATAAAGCATACCCCACATCTGGTGTTAATATTAAGACTATTAGGTACCCATCAGTCACTATTTTATCCATTAATTTTGATCATTTTGTAGACCCTTATTTTGAGTTCAATGTTAGCAAAAATTAGGAGATGATTTTACCCACCAAGTTCACCATCTTAAAAAGTTGAAAGTGGTTAGTGGTAATCAGGGAAATGTTTCTGTGACATCAGTTGCAATGTTATCCTACAGCAAAGCCATGAAAGCTTTGTGACTTCTCCCAACCTTTCTCCTCTCCAAATAGTCAATTTTTCTGCACTGCATTGAGATGATACTTGGCTCTGCAGAAGGTATGAGAATCAAACTGTATATGTATGAGAAAATGTGAAGCAATCAAATTGAGTTGCTTAAAGTTTTACTCTACTGTTGTATTTAGAACCAAAAAGAATTGTAAAAGCTTTGGCGGCAGGGGCTTATTTTTACTTTAGTTTACCTTCAGAGAAACTCCATTTGTGTTTATGGTATAAATATATATAAATATATATAGTTAATAGTACTAATCATGTCAAATGCTTATTTGACATGGAAGTAGAAGTGGGAAATCTTTAAGATAAGCTTATGATTTTGACAAAGGTAGCAATGTTTCACAAGGTAATTTAGAGTTTATGTAAAACATTTTGCTTTTATAATTTCCATGAATGAGGAAGATTTTTTTTTAAAGTAAATATTACTTTAAAAGTTTTGTCTTTATTTTTCCATTAAAAATAAAAAGCTGTATATATGTGTTTTAGCATGTTTTTATGTATCTTTCTGAATTTCTCAAGGATATTTTGCATCAACCTAACTCATTAAATCCCTGCTAGACAATCTGTATGGAATTTTCTAAAATGGGAACTGTTAAGTAACCTCAGTTTCTCTTTCCAGAGCTTATATCAGCCATGGAAATTATCTAAGGCTTAAAAATAATAGTTGTATGTAATTAAAATTAACATTCTGATTGAAAATACCCCGCTGCATCCAGCAACAATACACTGGAGCCTCACCAGAAATTATATAAGGCCCTGGGTAGACTCTAACTAGCCCTGAGGATAGTTAGACAAGCCAAAACTCAAGCCAGTTTTTGACCAATATGCTCAAACAGTGAAATTATGAATGTGGGAATTAAAGCTCTTCGATTTACTTTTGTAATCTTGCCTTTATGGGAATCTTGAATATTGATTCAACGGCTTAAATTTAATATAGGTCATTAAATACTGCATGTTTGTTTATTTGATCTACCTCTCTACTACAAAGAGGTAGCATTAATTTGTCCTCAAAACCACTAGTACATTTTATATTAGTTACTGACGTAAATATTGAAGCGTTTTTTGTTCTTCAGGGAAGTGACCCTCCCCTTTTGTCATTAAATTCAGTTTATTTATAAGAAAACTGAATAGGTTTGAGATGTGAGTTATATCATCTGGAAGCATAGTAAGACAATATTGCCATACAAGTAATCTGTTTAAGAAACATTTCATCTAAATTCATTTTATATGATTTAACAAACTCCTTCAAATTCTTAAATAAGCATGCCAGCGACTGAGGTTTGTAAAAGCTCTAGACAACGTTGCATTATATTTCTTAAAACAGCTGCAGATATGTGATTCTCTGCTCAGAATTTCTTAGCATTGAATAAAAAGACAGTAGCCCTCTTTAATTAAGCTGATTTAACCATTTTCCCTCTGAAAAGGATGCTCTGCCACTAGTTAGCTGTGTGACGTGCAAATCACTTTCTTCAGGCCTCAGGTTCCTCAACTATAAAATGGGGGTGGGGGTGGGGAAAAGCTGAACTTCCAATATTTTTAAAAGTTCCTTCCAGCTATTAAGATTCTGTGAGTTCTCAGTGCTGGCTAGGTAATTTTATAACAATATGAAAAGGGAAAAGTCTCTTCACATAGTGACTGAGTCTTGACTATTTTTAATGAACTTGATAAGAAAATACTTTTCTTAATCAAATGATGGAGGCAGGACTAAGTTTTGAATTATTTTAAAACAGGATTTTTAAAGTACATAATGTAAGAAAAATATGAATTATGTAAGTAAAGAAACAAGGTTTTGCAACAAAATAAAAGCAAGGTAGGATGAAGCACATTAATTCTTCCTGGTTTCAGCTTAATGTGGAAATTTTCACTTGCCTGAATATAAATATAAAGGCATAATTTTTCCCCCCACTAGGGATGCTTCACCAATACCAGCAATACATAAATATTAAAGTACATTCTAATATGTGTTTATCATGTTTATCATTCACTGGAATAGGTGACATTTCACATGTTTTGCAGAAGGGAAAAATCATACATTTTATGTGTTCAGAAAGTTAATATCCATCCTAACTATTAGTAATGCCTCTCATTTCAAACTATGATTAACCTAGTCTTTTTCAATAAAATAAACTTAGTTTGATTTGAATTTATTTACTTTAGCCATTGTGTTGGTTTCAGGAAGTGAAGTAAATCTTTTTCAGTATCTTCATCTAGCTTTCCGGCAACATAAAGGGTTGAAGGATTTTAAAACCATTAGTGCAGTAAACCATATTCATAAATGTTTAAAAACTTAAAACTTTACTCATGCCCATATATGCAGTACTGTACTACCTGAGTTAGGGGCATTGGCTTAAGATTATAGAGGTACATTTGAGGGAGATGATCTGCTTGCTGTACCATCTTTTTTGAACTGTTTAAAGTCAGTTAATGAGAATAAATGCTTGGCTCCTGCTCCCCTTGTATTTGGATAAAGAAGACAGCAGTGGGTTTGAAGCTTCATAAATGTGGCTTGGAATCTCTCAAAATACCTAGGTGATTTTTCTTTCATACTGCTTCATACCATAGAAATAGAGGTCAGATCATTTTTCTAGGTAGATGTTCTTGCAACAGGCCAGCCCAGGCAGGTCTCAAAATCCACCCAACAAAGATCAAGCATCAGAACTAGTCGAAGTTGATTTTTCCAAGACACCATTGAAGTGGAAAAAATCAGAACAAATTGGAAGTCTAAATGTGACTTGCCCAATTCACAAGGATATTTTACAGAATGTTTTGTTATCATCATCCTTTAACTACCTTCATTTTTCCACTTAATTTTCCCTGTATAGATATGGGATATTAGGCTATCAATAGAGTCCTTTTACATCCACAATCTTGTTTAAAAAGTGGTATTTTTGTCTTTTGTAATTCATAGGACCCAGTACAGTGCTGCATAAGCAATATAATTTTGGTGATGAATTGACTGCCAATGCCACAGCTGACTTGGTAAGGCAGAACCTGAGTTGGCTTTGTAGGGATCAGCCAAGCAGCCAGAATGACTTGGGTAGTTGCCCAGAGCTGCTAAACAGGACCAGATTCAATATGACCCTTTAAAAAGCAAACTGAGCCATTTCCTACTACCAGTTGTATCTACTTTCTGTTGTTCCCCGGGGATATGAATGTGATTGTTTAAACTTGTTTTGCAAAACCCCACTTTAGATAGGTGGTAGTCTCACCTGATTAAACTGAGGATTTGCTTTAAAGAAAAGGCTGAGTTAAATGGGAAAGAGTGGTTTCTATTTTCTGTGTTTGTAATTGCCAAATTTTCTGTTTATATTGTTCTGATGTAATTAATTTAAAAGCCTCATAGTTGTTAAATAAAATTAGACCTTTTGTAAATAAAAATAATTTATTAGAAAAAGGTATTGCAGCTTTTACTAAATAAAGTGGATATGCGTCTTTTTCTTTTCCCTCAAAGGCCTTCATAGATAGGCCTGTTGTGTCCTATCTACTGGTCACTGGTTATTTTGCACCTTTCCAGTGGATTTGTTTTTTTGTTAAGTGCAGCTATTCTAAAACGGAATGAACAAAGAGATCAACTGTGTTCCTGTAAATATTAGAACCTGATTAATGGGCCACTCCTTAAAGAAGACACTCAGGCCTAGAGTGCTAAAATAAATGGCAACCTGTGGGGAGCTGGGATTATTACCTCTCAATTTCATTTCTTCCACTAGACTGTGTGAAGTAAGTAGTGCTTCTTTGTGGTAATAAAGGCAAAAAGCTGACTTTAGTTGTTGGGATACTTCAAACAAGCAAGAATCAGATGCATGGCTAAACTTGACAAGAAGTAAAATTTAAGTATATTTTAGCTAGTGTTAAATGAATAGACTGGCATTATATACTATTGGAACTGTTTATAAATGTGTATCAAAATTTTGGTGACAGTTTAGTTGCCTCTGTAGGAATAGGTGAATTCCAGCCAAATTAACTGTGAAGCAAATTGTAATCATATTTCACCACCACCATCAGTAGGAAAATTGCAGGTGCCCTCCAATGGGGGGAAAAAATACACCAGTAGTGTAGGGTAAGGAGATGTCCCCAGGCAAATAGCATGTTCTTATTTGCTATGGTCAAGAAAAATGGGAAATAGGAAGGCCTAGTAGTGACTAGGAGAGGATCCCGGATCCTGCGTTTTTGCTTTATTTGTTTTTTAAAGCAGCAAACAGGGGCAGCTAGGTGGCACAGTGGATAGAGCACCGGCCCTGGATTCAGGAGGGCCTGAGTTCAACTTCGACCTCAGACACAGAACACTTACTAGCTGTGTGACCCTGGGCAAGTCACTTAACCCCATTGCCTAGCCAAAAAAAGAAGCAAACAGTGACTGTTACACCGTATCAGTATGCTGTAAACAGATTTGCCACTATATAGTTCAGCCTCTTCACAAGATGTTTGCCTTGAGGTTTCCTCTTTGCTATTTAGCCACTTGTCTCCCTGACTATAGGATTATCTGGCTCTACGCTTGCCACTTACCCTCCCTTGCCCACACCACCACCT